ATATACACCCAACAGCGGTGCGGATGATGGGTTGCGGCCATTTCCTTTTCGAATTGTCATCTATTCAAATTGAATCTACCTGCTCTTTTTTTCTTTGAGCGACTTCTTTGTGAGTCTTTTTTTACTCGAAGAGGAGAAGAGAAGTGCCATTATCGTGGCTTCCTTGGCTTAATCTTCCCTCTTGGCCCCGACGGGTCCCTTTATTATCATCTCGCACTACCCTAGAGCTTGATGTTGTCAATTTTATTACTTACTGTACGCGCTGTATCTCCCTACGGGGCTCCCACAGCTCACCCCGGTTAGCTGCACGTAGCTTCGTTAACAAAGATACTGCTGCTGTTTCCTTAAACTATTTGGGGTAAAATAACGGTGTGCGGCAACTACGTATCATCTCTGCGTCGCGCTCAACTTTAATTGAATTCATGCAGTCGTCACCCGGCGCGTGAAAGAAAAATCAATTGTTACATGGGTTACAGATAAAGCTTAGTAAATGATGAAAGCAAAGTGATGCAATGTTAGAAAACGCGGAATGGCTTCCGCCGAATGACAATTGCAATGCTTGTCTTTATGTTCGTGCGACAGGACGTAAAGTCCAGACTTCGTTGGTCGGGTTGGGTGAGGAGTATGAGGGAGCCGCTAAGAATTACCGGTGTTGGTGCCGTAATAACAAGGTTGATCGTTTGCAGACTAAGGAATGAGGGCAGGTCTTAGGATGGCCTGTTCTACCTATATCAAAGCCGTCTTCCTATAGCAATACATCGTTAGAGGAGCGACAGAATGCGGGATCGCTCGGAAAGAGCTAGACAAGAGGCGATTCAAATCGCATACCTAACGACAGTCGACAAGGGGTATTAATCGAGCTACCCGCATCAACGGGTCCTTTGCCGGGGCCGCGAGCCTGAATAATTGTTCACGGTGACGCCTCTGTCATTCGAGCTGTAGCCGCACAACGCAATACGACACTATTATTGGTCATCTACAAAAATTTGCGTTAGCTGAATTGTTTAGGCGTATTGGGATATTGAAAGGTTCTCTGGTGGTATGCTATGATTCTTAGATCTTTAGGCCTGTTTCCTAAATTTTGAAGAATGTTTGTTATCAAGGCTTATACGGACGATAGATTCATGAGTGGTCATTAAACTGTTACTGCAAAAGCTCGTCTGAGTAACTTTAAACCGCCTGACTTCCGAATAACCTAGTATCTTATTGAAAGCAGTTTTCTATAGAGGATTTTGGCCTAGTTCGTGTTATGATTTCCCATAAAAACAAAATTTTCCTATAAATCGAAGTTTTAGCATTTTGAAAGTATTACTCAAATAATAAGCTCTTGATTTAGATTTAAATCAAGTAGTTGTTAAGAAGATTTTTGCGCTAGTTTCGACCCATAGGTTTACTTCCGACAAACTGTCACTTCACTTAAATAAATTTGTCTTTCATATCCAAAGTATTTTAATCCTTCAGTATTTTTATCAGGATGACAGTAATCTTCTAAGGTATTGATAGTGATAGCAGTAATCGAGGAAAGGGTAAGTGAAATGGTTAAGGCTTGTCGCTTCAAGAAGCTCATTGCCAATTTGCGCCAACCAAATCGATTTATATGACCAACTATCAATTTGAGCACGTCCACAGCATAGCTTTGGTAAATAACGGTCTAGTATTATCTCGCTTGTTACTTGTTAGTTCATTGGCAGGACGACAGATTGAACTACAAAAAATCCCCATTGCACAAACTAACCTCTCAGCGACCTTCCAATGAGTCTTTTTAAAATCCTTTAGGAACCATGGTTTGATTCAATATTTTTTAAAGTCCACGTGCTTGATTTGTATGGAATCATATTGGCAAGCATGCCCCACAAACTGTTCGTTGTCAATTCTAGAACATATATATCTCTGTCTACGGCCAAAGCGATATACAATTTTTATAAACAGCAGTAAACCTAAATACCAGTATTGTATGGCGAAAACGATACGTATAGTATCAATAAAAAGTAAGCCGTTATATTTTTCGGAGTAAGATTTTTATGCTAGTTGCTGAATGTAGCCACAACCCATGTTATTGAACCTTTTTGGGGCTTGCTCAGTCCAGTTTTTAGTGAGAGTATACATTACCTTTCGTTACGCCCGGACCCTTCTAGACTTTTTAGTATATTAAACATTTCATTGATTATCGAAACTCCCTTTATTGTCTCTTCATCTAATGAACGACAATGACGCACTTGAAAATGTTCAGAACATATTTCCAAATGAGTTGGTTGGCGTTGCAGCACTCTCTACGAGGGCCTTCCTCTAAAACAAACGTGTATTTTCTACAAAGTAGCCGAATTTAAGCCAAAGTCCTAAATGAAGAAAGCTATAACCATCTGACGCAGTCCTTAACAGCAGTACCGGACACAAAATTCCAAACATTCTTGTCAATAAGCTCTATTTTAAGTGAATGGCACGTCTTGTTAGAAATGTTTATAACTACTGATCGCCTATCTTTATAATTATTATCATAATTTTATATATATATATATGGAGGCACGATTGTTCTACTGGTTCATTTTAAAATAACAATGAAACCATTAATCTTAAGGAAACTAGTCGGAATCAAGGAAAAGTTGCGAGCACAAACGAATACCACAGGTGAAACCCAACCTAGCAGAGTAATAGGACTTTGTATTTGTAATAAAAAAGTACCATCAATTATCACCAGAATTATCTTAAATCCGCTAGAAAACTATTCTTCTTACGTAGCTTGCCGATAGATTCAGGCTAGATGTTTTGCCGCAAATGGGTTACAATGAATACGTGTATGAAGGATCCCGCGTTAGTTAAATGTTAGCACGCTGCTGATGACGCAAGATGTCGTGAATTTTTCTGCGAAAGCCTTAGTAGCGCCGTTCTCTTAAAGGCACTTCCTGTCGAGCGCCGTTTTGTGCGCCATTAGGAATATGGCCCGTACCAGGGTTAGCTATCATCCCTGATCTGAACAATGCACACAACTCAAATGCTGTACAATATTAAAATTTATAAATATAATAAAAAGAGAAGCTATAAGATTTTCGATGAAATTGCAAATAAAAAAGATATCATTTAGTATAATACATTTATAGCTTGTACGACTTTAAACTTCACGATTCTGAACCTTTTAGTCTACTGAAATCCACTTATTAAATTACTATGGGAATTTTAGGCAGTAGAAAACTGTATTGAGCTATGTGAAAGTGAGTCCCTTACGAGCACCCCCAAATGCTTAAATAAAGTCATGCTTTAACAGCGTACGCGGACGTTCTTCTGTCTGATCTTTAAGGCGACACAACAGAATGGTCCCTGGTCGTCGGTTTGTCAGCAGCTGGTGGGCTCATTGACTTTCGACTTCGAAAGCTTGCGGAGGTTGATTGCAAACCCTAAAGCCAACATCACCTTATTTTGCTTATAGAAAACTTTCGAGAGCTTTCAAAGTATTCTTAGGTAGTACCACCTACATATCGTAGCGATGCATGTCTAGAAACGTATACTGATGAGCATTTGACACTCCTCCGAAGTTACGTTCAAATAGAGGAAATGACATTATTAAGTGTCTTTCTTGACTATATTCCACTTCACAAAAAGTTTAATTCAATATTATAGTTTCATTGTCTGTGTCAGCACAACGCACCACTCTAGCTTGGAGGTGCCACAATGGCGAAGTGCTATAAATGAGAATATGTATTTCTTAACTAGTTCCTTTCGTAGATGAACGTTAGTATAATAGTTTTATTATATCTCATTTTACCCTTTTTCACTGTGTGAGTGTTCTAATAGCTGACTTTGACTAAAACAATTCCATGATGTTATAAGTGTTAAACGTTAGTCAGATGCATATATGGATAATATATTGACTTTCGCATAGTATTGATAATTATCTCAAACAAGAAATAGTAGCTAGAAGCCAAAATGTATTGTTTTTGGTTTTTATAGATCAGTTGAACTTCGTTATGGACAATGTGTCTGCAAGGAATATCCTTGCATTCCTCAGGGATTTTCTGACCTGAAAGGGCTCCGTTACTGTAAAACATTGCATTTTTCCGAAGAAAGAAATTCTAATACAACTCTTATGAGGAAAAATTTATTGTACTCCTACATAGGTCTTCAAAAAGAATTACAAATAAGATACAACTTATTTACACACTATGGGACGCTACTCTTGATCGCGATACATTGGCCAATATTGAAATCTAAAATTATTAAGAATTTCTTTATTAACAAGCCAATATGAGACTCTGAGAAACAGAAGCAAAAATTATTCGAAATCTACTTGAAGTGCTAAGATCTGTACCTATCATGCCTAAAGCAAAATATCGAATACCTTCGCCGAACGCTGTATAGACATTACCAAATCCTAAGCTAGATTTCTTCTATTTCGATCTGCGAGTAACCAGATTCAACAGAGTATGTTATAAAATGCTTTCGATAACGTACCCTGTAGCCAATCCGATAGGCCCACAATGCAGAAATACGAATCCTTGGCCACAATAATATCCGGCCACGCGTCGCCAGGCATTAGCAAAAATGATGGAAAAGGTGATTTCCTTTTGCAAGGCCATTGTTAACCCTCTAACTTTTGCGTCTAGATTGAACAGCTACAATTTGTACAGATCATATGGTATGCACATTGCCAGTGTTTCGCATTTGGCATGTAAACATTCGATTATGTAGCTTGTCGGGTTGATAATCTTCGACACACTTTTACTTGTCGCTTAGTAAGACATGAATACAATTAAGAGCCTCCACTACCAGATCAAAAAACAACAACATGCGCAGTGCTTACATTCAAATAAATGTTCCAATACAACTTTTTTGGGTTATTTATCGGCTGAGAAGTTCAGTAAGTTTTGAGTTTCAGTGCTTGTGTTGTGACGCTGTCGCTTACTATCCAAGGTGAAAATATCAGAAAAGGCCAGTTTATTTAAGCTAGAGTAAAGGATCTAGGTATTTCCTAGAGTTTACTTAATGTACAGGACATTAATTTACGTTTTAATTGAAATGTTATAGCAATTTTGTCTGGGCTTATATAGAAGCACAAAGCATATCCAAAGTGGGGATGTTTGTTAGTAGAATAATTACTAGAAACCAATTAACCAAACTCTATCGTTATCTTCCTGTCCATTTAACGTTGAATGTTACAAAAATTAGAACGCTAGTTGGATCAAGCTCTTCATAGCGCGAATGCAAAATCTACTTGCGAGCAACTCAATATGTGGACTAATGTCGTAACTATAACGATGCCTTTATGCAAGCGCAAACCCGAAGCTAACAAATGCTTAAAAATGGGTCTGCTACAGTGCTGATACTACGTTTGCCATTTTGGGTGAAATATTATTTTAGCTTTCCGTATAAGCTTAAAATAGAACACTCTCCGGGGACTATCTAGTGCTGAGGCACCGATTGCGTCACCCAAAATAAGAGCAAAGAGCGGGCTTGAATACAATTTAGACAGTAGACTTCCGGCGTTAAGTTATTATTACAACTTTTTCTATTTTGCTACAACGTTTTCTATTTTGCATTGTAATGTCATACTTATAGCTCCAACTATTCTGACCATTTTTGACCTGCTATTTCATAGTTTACCTGCCGATTTTGCGCCTCCGTAGGCCTCGGAGTGTGTCTTTCTTTTTTGAGCTTTACTAGACAAATGGCGACCCTTACTTCTTGAAATATAATAAAGATATTACGTATCATAGTCCTTAGGGAAGAATTCTCGAAATTGAGCGCTTGTCTTTGTTAACCCATCCTAAGATGTAAAGACATTGGCGCTTCCTACTTGTTTTCGAACTTATTAACGCTACGAGATAACGATTTACGATACTGATTTGCACTGTTCTTTGACGAAAACGTTTAAACAATAGATCTCCTTGAAAACACTGAAAAGACGACCATCTTTTTCGGACCGAAATGAGCCGAAGTTTGTGAACAAACGCATTGGCAACGGAGGCAGTGAAACCATCTTTCATTCTTGCTCTGAATGGGGAGAGAAGGTCAAACGGCAAGGCCTATTGTCAATGCACTCTGAAGAATGTTCTAACGTGAAATAGCCTTATTCAAAATAAGGCAGATTCGTATTTTCAGTGCCTACAGAAAGTCAGAACTTTCAAATTGGCCATTTCAGCCCTCACATATCGTTACGATGAATTCCAGGGAATTTTTGTATGAGGTCCTCCTTATTAGTGGTGTCTCAGATGCGTAGACATAAGACGACAGAACTTTTATTTTTCATAGTTTGTGCAATACTCTTGTGTATGTACTTCAAGCATTAGCCTGCCTCGAGGAAGAGAAATTTAGTGCCGCTCCGGCGCCCGCTTTAGTGCACTGCTTGTAATGATGCGTTCATTTTGGCGGGAAAAATGTCAACAAAGCTTTCGTTTAGAAAGGGAAAACAATGGGATTGCCACGTGGTGGGGAAGAGGGGAAAGAGTATTTTGGAGCGACGCGATCCGTGGCGCCCCCTCTCGGCTGGCCTAGCCAACTGGTGACCGGTTGGCATAGCAACAAAAATAAAGTTCGACGCAGGCGCAACAACCCTTCCGTGAGCCAAAATACAGGACCGACCGTCGTCAGAGAGCGGTAGCGGTGAAGATCCCCCTAGTAGAGAGCACTCCGTTGCTTTGAGTGAGCACTGGACGCGCTGTCCGCTCTCACAGCTGAGTGACTATTGTGAATGGCCATTAAGAGTTGAAAAGTAAGATAGAGAGAATAGAGGTTACACCGGGCAGCGAGTTGTTTACTATACCTTTTATAATTTTCTCTTTACTGTGAATCTCCCTGGTGGTCAGTGTTCTATCAGTGAAAACGCTAGGGAGTTAGACGTTATTGTGATACAATACGCATTCACAGAAGACAGGAGTTAATTCGTAAGCTGTGATGACCAATGTGAGCGCGATCGTGGCTTGTTATAATAATAGCATTGATTTGGACATATTTGCGGGAGATACAAGTCACATAAACAGAAAGTGATAGCAAAACCAGCACACGGTATTGAGAGTGTGGCCGAGTAGTTAAGGGCAAAATGGCCCAACTGCGACGAAGGAGTTCGCCAGTTTCGTGTTTTTGGCTACTCGAGAAAGTGGCAGTTGTAGTTGTCCTTGAGTGCAGTTTTGTGTTTTGGTCATTATTTGCGTGCTACTCCATCGTGAACTTAGCTGACGCATGCTACAAATTTCCTGCAGATACTGCCGATCCGTGTGCTGAAAAGGAATGCCAATTTGGGGCCGAGTGCAAGGTACGATTGGATGGCAAGTCAGCTGAATGCGTGTGTCCGGAACGATGCACGTCGTATGGTGACTCTAAAGGATCGCGACCTGTATGTGGCTCGGACGGCAAAGATTATCCATCCGTGTGCGAGCTTCGTCGGACTGCCTGCAAAGAAATGCGGGAGATCTCAGTCAAGTACCAAGGCTCCTGTGGTAAGTACGACTCTCACTATATTTATTTAGCCTTGAGCTCAGAAATAAAAATGTACAGCTGAACGCATTTCTTAGATATTGCATATTACTTCATATGTATATTAATACTTCGAGAAAAATACTATGCTAATCACAAGCATGACCGTGTTAAAAAGTTACACCCGCTACTTCTTTAACTTGAATTCGCAAGCACATTGTTTTTATTATATATTTTTGAAAGAACACATTCCTTTTAATATTTATACTAATTTTCGATGCACTCCAGAATTAGAACGCCTTGAATGCGTTAGGAATGTGATTACATGTTTCAGAATAAGATATTCCATTTATATCGAAATTACTTATGTGCAAAGGATATAGAACCTCGCTTATGAGAGATCGATCGTAGCAAAATGCTGTGACTCTCTTCCGACAATCGGTACGTACTGGGTTGAAATATGTCATATGCGTAATCAGGTGCAACGAAAATTAACCATTGACGGAGACGGGGACCAGCAAAGAAGCTGCTAGAGTGTCTGTGTCCAGACCCTGAAAAGGCGATGATGTTTGGGAACGCGATGCTGTTTTGTTTGTTGAACCGTGTTTACTCATTTCGCCGTTAGGGTTTTTTTGTGGATCGAAGGTGCAAGTTGCTCTTTCTGTATTTGCGTATAATAATAATATGCTACTGTTAGCAAGTGTTTCGCCTATTGAGATTGACAAACAAGTAGCTGTGGGAGTTTTTTTTTTATTTATCAAAAAGATACGTTTGCAAACGTGTACCTTTTCGGATCTAAGAAAGTTGTGCAGCTTTTTGTTGAAGGGATGTGTGTAGACACTTTTATTTTAATGACAATAGCTCATGAAGTTAATAACATAAATAATAATAACAATCATATATTATCCGTATTGTGTATGTTCCCTTGTAAGACGCGCAAAAAGATGCAAGTTAAATTTAGACAAAGAATTGCATTTGGTTTTGGGATCTGTTTATATGAACCACCTATTGCGTCAGTCTGTGCTCTTTAAATTAAATAATTCAAATCTACATCGCTGCTGCTCCTTAGTTTTTAAGCGACGATACTCGGTCTACAGAAATGTTTTCATATAGCTGTATAACGATGTGCAAATATTATATATTATATTTCTTAGGTTGATAATGGGGATTTTCCACAAAACTTTGCACCCGAACAAAAACAAAGGATTACTTTGAGTCTCAGATCTGGAACCGCCATAAGCAATTCACAGAACCAGAGTTCGTCCATGCTTAGCCATCAAGCTAGATAGCCAGCAACCGCTGGAAAAAAACATGGCATATAGTACTTCACATCGGAATTGACATTGCGCAATCTAAACTTGCCCTTTGCGGGTTTTGGCCGCTGACTAAAGTGGACCCAATTATATGATGGACTTATTTCTGGATGACTCTCGCTAATGTATCACTAGGTGATCCAATATACGGGGAGTAAAAGTTGAAAATCAGCTTCAGGTAAAGAGCCATATAAATCGTCTTATATGTCATCAGTGCTGAAAGCAATGATTGAGCGATTTGTCCATTTGCGGTAGTTTAGTACCATTTGTAGATTCAAATCACAGCTTTTCGATACAAACTGTCAATATATCGTGCCTTCGAAAAGGTGTATCACATATATTAAAGAGCAAACAGATAATCAAGGCTAATTTGAATTAAATGAAAAGAATCGTTTTTAAAATCGTTAATTAGGCGTGCACAGCCCAAGTTCATCTGGTTGCGGCCAATTTATTCATTAAGTTATCAGTAGTTATAGGTGCGATTCTGCTTCATTGACTGAATCTTGATTGCATAGTGGGGTTCCATATTGAACTCTCCAGTTTGGTTGGTTATTGTCGTGAAAATTTTTAGACTGACGTTGCGTTCCTTTGAAATGTTTTGTCTTTGTTTGATTCTCTTTGTGGTTTGCGTCTGTCTCAAAATCTGTGTTCCTTTTGGAGGTATCTCAGAACGCACTGCACGTTGAGTTCGATTTAAATAAGTTTAAAAAGCCGGTTTATGTAACTTATTGCGCTCACGCCAAGATCATAAAGAGGGTTCAACAATGATCAAGTGAAATATTCCTTAGGAATATTCAAATAGTTCTTCCAAACCTTAAGTAAATATGTGGTCAGTAGATACGGTTATGTTAAAAATACTTTTCCTATCCCTTAAGAGCTGCCGCGTATCACGCGCTGAGTGTACACTGGGAATGGACTATGATCCCTAATGTCACTGCTTAAGACGTTGCGTCCCAAGAGGCATCTCCTTATTAACTGGATGACCTGCAAAACATGTGCTTGCAAGACAGTTTGCGCGCCTTGAACTGCCAAAGACGAATGAACTCGGTGTGCCCTCTACCCGGAGCCGAAAAAATCGGAGCGATTTGTTTGCTGAAGAGATCAGTGTGTCTCGTATTAAACGTCGCACTTGGAAAAGAACAATGTTTCATATGAGTGTTATGGGCGAATCGGGGAGTTGAAGAGGAAAAACCGTTGAAGCTCTATGCCGGATCGGCCATATCCAGTATAACGTAAATAGATCTTTCCAATAAATATCAAATTAAGGAATCAATTTAACCGCCTCTTTTTAATTAGTTACTGATTTTGCATAAAAATTGAGTTAGATTTAACTTTTTTAGCTCTAAGTTAATAAGGTTTAAAAGATAGCCCTTGTAGCCAGCACTATATGTTTACATCAAAGGTCTTCTTCAACTTCCTATTATTTGTGGGTGACATATGCAATAGGAAAGCGGAAGTACCTGTTCAGTTTTAATTCTAGCGACTTCCGTGATGCTGAGTCTTTCCAAACTCTGGCTCTTTATAGCGGATGGACTGCTTGCTTTCAAAGCTAGAGCTCGAAGAACACCAAGAGAAAAATATGAGCCCCACAAATAATTGGCTACTGATTTAGCGAACTAACTGCTAATGATTGGTTCAAAATAACCCTGACTATGCAGTGCGGCTGGGTGAGTACATATTTTTAGTTATCAATTAAGTTTTTATCATTTAGCTACATCTACAAAAAAGTACGTTCTGAAAACAAAAGCCACATAACGTGAAACCACAGTTAGGAGATTACCTGAATGATAGGTCTTGATAAAGCTTATCAGTCAAAAAAAAAAAACTGAAATCGAGCTAACTTAACGAGACGCTATGCGCAATTTACAATGACTGTTCTTTTCTACGTTCGAGTCAATTTATTGTACTTTATATATCGAGGAAAGTTGACGCAGATGTTTTTGAGACTAGGTGCTATCCAAGCGCACGAGGTTGCGCGTTCCGTAATATATTTAAGAGTATTTTTATTTGTAGGTCTCATTATATAAGCAGGATAAGCAAAAGAACTTATATCTTCTATGGGATGCAACTCTTTCGAACAGGAAAGACATGGTATTGTATCAGAATTCGATTTTCGCTCGAGTGGTGAAGGAATAATCATAATTGATGGCAATCGCTGTAGTTTCATTTCGCAATTTTTTTTCTGTCGCGCCCGTCGGGTAACTTATTGACAATAAAGACAGAAGCCGATGATGCACCGATCCCACTTCAGTCCTCAAGCAAGACCTATAAAGGGTAATCAAGGATTATTACGTAGACCGTGCGGGAAAAGCAGGGATGCTATTAACTGTCCGAAGTGCTACCCTGTCATCTTTTTAAGAGTAGAAGTAGTGATGTTTAAATTGGCAATACATTTTTTTTATTCACACGATTTTTGTGGTGCTGTATCGTTGGCGGGGTCTAAAGTAGCAACTTCTAGTCCCTTTACAATTTAAACTCGCAATGGCCAATCTGTAAAAAACAATTGTAAAAATGGGATTTGTTTGTAAAAATAATTATAAAAAGCGCCTACGTTGAGACGCACAGTCGGATTAGGCCGTCTGGGTTGGTCGTACAGGTATAGGTATATTTCAAAGTAAAAATATAATTAAGCATCTCTTCTTCCAGCTATTTTTTATCTTACGGAGAAGGCAAGGGAATAGACTATATACTCGAAATGTGGTTTATATAAAAGTATTTTGCATAATAGAATATCATTCATAGCTGTAAAGATCCATTGAGTAATCTAACGTCTAGCAACATTTTGACAGCAACGAAGCAAAATATCGACATTTACCTACAAGGTGTTTACGTTGTCAGTATTTAAGGTTCATCTTTTACAGCAGTTATCTATTCAGGTGGCATATGTTGCCTAGGAAAGGCAAACGCAAGGTTGTTTTTCGTGGAAATTGGGAAAGATCGGGATCATGCAGGAGATTGATTTACTATGCTGATTACCATGCGTCTGTGGCTTGGAAATAAGGCTGGAGATGCATTGCCAAGAAGTGAGCAGGTCGTATTAAAGCTAGCGTTTACGTAAACCATAGAATACTCCGACTGCTGCCATTCGACGTCGCATATGTGCTCTATGTTGGTATTTCCGATATAGGCCTTTCTTGCGGTAGCCCGTCAACGTGATGACCCAAACAGGCTCGTTCACTTTGACAGATGCTCTATTCTATGAAACGACTGTCATCTTAAGCACTTGGTAATTTCTGTGATATTGGACGATGGTCGATTGTATGAAAATGTTTAGATACATTGTTAGCGCACTCGTATGCGCGCTAATTCCCTATGTGTCTTACTAGAATGGTGCAGTTTCCGCCGTACATTAACGAGTGTTCTTTAATGGACATTCATGAAAACGTCGGCTCTAATTTGAATAGACTATAATATAGTTTATGTCTAATAGGTCCTGCTGATGATTTCTATGCCCTTGAAAGCGCTTGCCCCATTTACCGTTGAACTTGGCTACTGCTTTTACCTTTTTGAGTAGATTTAGCAAACATACCTTCAGTGTATTTAAAGTACGTACAAATATTATATTAGGTTAAAAAGGATAAAGAGTGTCTGCTAAGTGAAGATAACACAAAGAAATATCCAAAAACAATTTAAGCGTTGGGTATTGTTATAAAGAAAATAGACTGGATTCGCTTTATTGCACCAGTGTATAATAATAATAATAATAATAA